GAGATCCTTGCGTTCATCCAGACGGACGGACGGACATGTCTTGATCGATTTCTCTCGTCATGCTGATTCAGAATATACATACTTTGCACAAACCTAATATACCCTTTTTACCCTACGGGTACAGGGTAAAAAAGTACAAGAGTATAATAGGTTTGCAGGAGCTGAAAAATGTAATAGGCAGAAGGAGGCGTGGCAGACCCCACAAAGTATATTCTTTATCAGCATGATAAGACGAATCGATCTATTTGTATCTGTCTGTCTGTCCGTCCGTCCGTATGAACACCTGGATTTCAGAGACTATAAGAGCTAGAGACACCAAATTTTGCACAAAGATGCCTTATGTGTGTACGCTATACGAGTTTGTTTTATTTTTTGAATTTTCCCCCACTTCCCCTCTATCGGGAATGTCCCGATTTTCCACTCGTATAATCGCCCATATTTCAGAGACTTTAAGAGCTAGAGACACCAAATTGTAGTCCCAGATGCCTTATGTGAATACGCAGAAAATGTGTATTTTGGAATTTCCCTCCATCTTCCCCTCTTCCACGAAATCACTGATTTTCCCAACCCTTGGAATTTCTTGGAATTTTTCAATGAAATTTGGCAAATCTGCCCGCAGCTGTTGTTGATGCTGGTGCTTTGGTTGACTGCAAACATGCTCACACAGACACGAATAGCCGCGCATAAACATACATACACTCACATAGACGCAATTGCTTTGTATATGTGCAATTATACACCCTTTACGTGAGTACGAATACTAAAGGAGGTAAAGTCGATCCAAAAATTTTTTTTAATTCTCTTAATTTTTTTAATTTCTGTAATTATTCTTAACACATGTACAGAGTATTTCAAAGTCGGGACACCCGACTTAAGCTTTTTTACTTGTTTTTTTGCCACGCAAGGGGAGCCACCTTATAAAAAAAAATGTTGAATATGAAAACTGCTCTGATTATAAATGCCAGCCACTTTATTTTAATACACACATACATATGTATGTGTTCTCTTTTTGCTTTTGAAAACTTTTGCCATCTAATAAACCTTTTTATGTTTTTGAAACTAATCAATTTAAATTTATGCATTATTTGAAGTCTAGGAATGTAACCCCTTATTTTGTATGGAGTACATGACAGGTTTAACACGATTTCGCTTAACAAGACGTAACCCCCATTTTAAGCGAGGGCTAGGTATACATACATACGTGCGTACACCCGCAGAAGTATGGAAAGCAATCGTAGTAAGTAGTTGAGTATGCTGCTATTGTGGAAATGAGCCGCTTCTTCACTGAAGGGATCAGGAATCTGTGAGTGTACATACTTGCGTAACTACGGCCGCATAAAGTACAAATAACCATTGACGGGAGTCCAAGAATGCTTTGACTATTTCGTTTTTACACACGATGTCTGAGGCACGGGTCAGTTGTCACCACCTCGCATACCACGTACTAGAGAATGTAGTATCTACTTTCTAGGGAGTGTACTACCAACTGAACATGATACATATGTATATAGTATATAAAAATAGCATCCTTCCCCTGCTTCGCACGGGTGTTTTACAAAATTTTTAAAAATTATAAATTTGCTATGAGTTACTAAAAAAGATTAAAATTATAAGCCTACATTATAAACATTCCTTTCGTAGGTCGATCCCTACTAATTCGAAGGCCTTGAGACTTTTTAATACTTAGTTAACGCGAAAGATGTTTTTACCGGAAATGAAAGCCATATAAATGATCGAATGGGATCATCGGTATCCTCGGTATATGAGCTAGTTCACTAGCTGCTGGGCCGTTGATAATAGTTTCTACACCTAAATTGTCCTGCAATTCCATAATAAGCAGCCTCGTCCCATTGCACATGCTCGGAAGGCTTAAATTTCTCAAAAGCATGATTGGAATTCTGATTTTTAGCTTCAATTCATGTGGCGGCTGTCCAGAAGGATTCAGTGAATTTAAAAATTCCTGTGGGTAATGGACTGTGTTCGATATTATTCACGATGTCGATGGATTTGTAATTTATTATTTGGCTGGCGACTTTTGACTAATATTGCCTTAATACTTAAACTGAGATAATGTTTCGAGTAGGATTGGGAAGTAACAGCATCGTGTTCGGGAATTTTTTAGGTAGTTTTTGTACACCTTGGGCTACCTTATTGGCATTTTAGTAAGGATCCCTACCTTTTTGGAAAAAAAATATAGGCTATGTTAACCGGGGATAGTGTAGCTTCTCAACAGTGAAAGAGTCCTTTAAATCAGTCCAGTACTTTCGGAGCCTTTTCAATTCAAATTAACAAACAATCAAATCTTTGATTGTGCCTCCCTTTTCGTGGTCTGGGTCACCCATTCTGCGCAGACACTTTATCAGCTCCGTATATTTGTATTCACACATAGATCGCCCTTTACGTTGCTTTAGCTCTAATGCTTCTCGTGATTGCATATTTAGACAGATTGTTGAATGACTTTTCCCAGGTCCTCTATGGTAGAGAGCTTTTTCTATGCTTGGTTATGTTCGATAGGTGTATGCAAGACTTGCCTAGCGTGAACTTCTAGCAGTTTCTTTAGCGTCTTCAGTTAAGCGTAATGAGTTAAGGCATAATGGCCTGTAGGCCTTCGGTCGCCTGCCTTGGGCAGGAATACAAGACGTGTCATGCCCAAGTCCACGGGCACATAAAGATACCACAGGCATCCCTCCTTGTAATTCTCAAATGTGTCTGGGTAATTGAAGTCCTGATCTCATCATCAGTACATCCGTACCTCCCGGAAAGGGCGCCTCGATCAAAACGGTCGCTTTTTCTGTTTTCTGTTTTGAATTGACTCAAGAACCGTACACCGCCACGAGGTTCTAAAGCAGCCCCTGTGCCACCATAAGAGGACCTCCATGAATCCTGTTATATACCTTTCCCGTCATATACCTTTCTTGATGTTACATCCCAGACAATACTTTCATCCATTTATTTGGCGAGTTTGAAAAGGCTCTGCATATCCTTTTTTGTTCTCTTAGCTTTGCTCCTGTCGCATTAAAGTTTCGGGTCTTCAAAAACTTCTGTATGGTAATGAATTCGAAAATGGTACGTCAGCACCTTTTGTCAGCCTTAGGTCTAGAGTCTAGACCAATTGAAGAGGTTCTACGTATGTGGGTACCTCCCCGATATTTTATATGCTCACGTTCTGTAATAGAATAAAGCTCTGCCCAGAGTCGGGTCTCTGTAGCAACTCCAGTTATGTCTTGCTTTCAGAACTCATTGAACTATTAGTTTTCTTTTAAACTGACACACTTGGCAGATTAACATTTACTTATCTTGCAATAAACACTTATCAGATTGTTGAAATGTTTCCCATTAATTGCAAAAGACAATACATATGTATGTTTATGTTTATTATTTAAATATACTTTTCGTTCAGACATACTTTTAATTGTTGTGCGGAAATCAAATGAAAAGTAAATGTATGCTTCGATATGTACAAGTATGCTTGTACATTTGTATTCAATCGCTTTCAAATAAATTCGTATAGTTCGTATATTTTTTTAACTATTGGAACATAATGAAGCTTCTCACCGAACTCGTTCTAAATCGTTTATACAAAAAGTGTCATTTCTGTAGCACCTATACATATACATACATACAGAAATATACACAGACTTTTTCGTAAACAGAAACAGTACATATACATACATATGTAGTAAATACATATACATATGAATTTGGAATTTATTGGAAAGAACAAACAGATCGGTGCCTGCCAAAAATAGAAGCTGCTTTTGAAATACTTAGTTTCAACTAAATCAAACATATCGAAAAATAGTCAGAATTTTAATTAAATTAAGCTCTTTATTAAGGCGAGTAAGCTAAAATAATTTGCATTGTGACGCCTTTCATATTGGTAAATGAAATTCAACAGCAACTTCAAATTAAAGTCTTGACACCAAAAATAATTAATTTGTGGGAATGTGTGACACTTGATAACATTTTAAGACTTACTAAATAAAAACATTTAAACCAGCTAAAAAATCGATCTAAGTATACATATGTATGTACAAAATAATAACTACGTAGATATTATTTCATATGTCTGTCCCCTAAAACTAAGACTGTATTCTTGTACGGTTATGGGAAAACAATTTTTAAATAAGAACATTTTAATATTTATACTATATATACTAGATTTGTGCGAATGTATGTAACATCCAGAAGGTGGCGTGGCAGACCCTACAAAGTATGTACATATGTATATATCAGCGTGACAAGAGGAGTCGATATAGCCATGTCCGTCTGTCTGTCCGTCCGTCCGTCTGTATGAGCACAAGGATCTCAGTAGGTGCAAGAGCTAAAGTAACCAAACTTAGTATCTAGGTTCCCCTAAGCCCTAGGATGATCAAGTTTGTTTTTTTACTCTGATGCTCTTGGAATTTAGAACACATTGCGTGCTTTGGGCCGAACAGAGATGAGCCAGAGCAGCAACAACAACAGCTGCGGGCAGAGCATATGCAGAGATTACACTTTTGGCTAAACTTCCTTTCAATTGCACCTATAACACAGAAAATTAGCATAAGGGTACATTTAAAATTCCGAGAATTATATATGTACATATGTATATGTATCTACTTTTGGGGGTCTACCATGCCTTCCTCTATGTGTTACATACATACCTTCGCACTAAACTAGTATACTCTTTCACCCTTTCGGTACAATGTAAAATTATGATTTTGCACTTATGCTGACACTTTTGGCAAATACATACATACATGCATATGTAGGTTAAAGTGATTGCTGGCATAAACGCATTTAAAAGTGTGTTTGCGTTGCAAGAGCAATTTATTTAAGCGCCATCAGGCCATAGAATGGCGCAACTCTGCTCAGTACAGAAATTGCTTTTCGCGCCACCTAGTGATGTTTTCTTAATCGAAATTGAATGAAATCACGAATATTAGTAGAAGATATCGATTTTAGCTATGAATACGATATACGATAACAACACAGACAGCACTAGTGGCAGCACTACGCAAGTTCAGCACGTTTTTAAATGCCGGCACCTAAAACATGTTTTTAAACTCCAATCTCTTTGAACCTGGAAAGTCAAAACTCGAGCGTAACTTTGTGCAGGTCTTGACAAAGCAGAACAATCGCCTAGATGGACGCAGTGCTGACGACTTTCGAGATGTGGAACTCACATTTGGTGCCGAATGGGGCATAGTGGCATTGACAGTGGGCCAAACAAGAGTCCTCGCCGAGGTTACCTGTGAGATTGACGCTCCAACAAGCGCACGTCCAAACGAAGGTGCGTTATTCCTCAATGTGGACATTGATGGTGTATCATTTCTGGACGAGGTCCAGACCACACACGATCAGCGTGTACTCGCTCTGAACTCTCTGCTGGAACGCACATTTCGCAGTTCGCGTTGCCTAGACTTGGAGTCACTGTGCATTGCGTCGGAGCAGCATGTTTGGTATGTGCGTGTAAACGTCAAGGTGCTCAATCACGATGGCAATCTATATGGTAATGCCAAAAACTAAAAACATCGATACAAAGTATAGGTCTAATACTCGTAGTGGTCTTTCAGATGCCTGTACCACTGCCGCGCTAGCAGCCCTCATGCATTTTCGCCGCCCCGATGTAACCTACAATGACAAGCAGATACGAACCTATAGTGAGAAAGAGCGTGAATTGGTGCCTATGCTGTTCCTGCACTATCCCGTCAGCGTCACATACTGTGTATACAAAAGCAGTTCAAAACCGGTGGTCGATCCCACGCTGCTCGAGGAGAATGCTGCTGATTCTGTTATTGTGCTCAGTTTTAATTCATATCAGGAGCTTTGCACTTTAAATGCTGGCGGCTCTGCACCTACCACTGCCCACATTATAATGCAGTGTGCGCGCAATGCGTCGCGTCGTTGTAAGAGCATGGTTCAATTTATTCGCAAAGCCCTGGCGCTGGATACAGAGCGGCGTCAGGCGAAACAACCAGTCGGATTGCTAGAGCTAATGCGCAGTACAATGCCCAAAATAACATATAATCGATTAATGAACGAGGAATCAGATGTGCCTGTGACAAACAATGAACCTGTTAGCAACATGGCCACAGTAGCTACTCCACAACACCAGGAGCCGCAGAATATGATTAAAGAGCAACGCAAACAGAACAAACAGGAGCCAGGTGTGTATAAGTAGTTAATGTCTTCCAAAGGCCAAGAGCATGCGATACAAATTATTTTTCGAAGCAATTTCCGAGCAATGGTTGTTTCCCCAATGTTTAAAACGCATAGAAGCTATACTATCATTTTATTAGGTTAAATGTCCACAGTTCTTTATGATACAGCAGCAAAAAGAAGCCTCTGTGCAAAGATTCTACGTGAAAGCTTTAAAACTAAGAAAGAAGTAGTAAATCAAGGAGGCAGAAGTTCAGGCGATTTGGATGGCCCCGTCCTGCTGATCATTTAGTGATATATAACATATGTTTTAAAGTTATTGCCCTTATATTTTGTACATAGGTTTCCTATTCCTACAGCCACGTTAATTGTGAAAACAATTTGGTAACATAGCAGCCATAAGAACGACTTTTTATTGTTTTTAAAGCTATCTCGGTTTCATATAATGTTATTGCATATTCAAGTTTGAATCAAATCGGACTCCCAATTCATGCAGTTGCCATATGAACGATCGGCCGATTATGCATTGACTTCTTTATTTTCTAGTTATCTGGCGGCTTCATACTTGTATAATGTTACTGCGTTTTGTTTTGTTTGTTGAATGTTTTTGTTTGTTTTTTGTTTTTGTTTTTTTCTTGAATGATTATTGTTATGTTGCATGAGAATTTTGAATAATGTTCGTATTGCTGCACAAATAAGAGTCGTAGGTCCAGACGGGCTTTATAGTGGTGCAATACAATATAACTTTACATGCCAATTTTACTTTTACTTGTTGGCTTCTATGCGATAGTAACCCCTAAGTGTTCTAAGTGTCCGCGAGACCATGGCGCGGCTTAGAGCTCTTCTGTTGGGTTTACTTTTTGCAAATGTATAGTATATAAGAAGCAGGCAGCCCATTCTTAATCAGTATGACAGGGAAAATCCATCTAGCCGTTTGGATTAACGCCTACATTTTGGAAGCAGCTGAACCCACAGTGACCACACTTTCTATGCAGACTCTCCTAATCCGTAGGTGAAATATTTAAGTTAGTTTTTTATAGCCTTTTAACCAAACTAGGTATCCAGATTCTCCTCAGTCCGAGAAAGTACGAGTTTGAGTTCTTTTCGATACATCCCCCAATTCTCAATTCGTGTTTTTTCCATAACTCCCGTAATTCTGGTAATTTTGAAATCTAACTACATCCCGATTGTTATTATGTGTCCGTATGCCAAGTTTCATCATGATAGGTCAATTATTAAGAAAGTTATAGCCATACAAATAATGTCAGCACAAGCTCTGCCTGCAGCTTTTGTTCTTGTTTCTAGATTTAGATTGCGCTTTACTTGCATAACTGGAAAGTATTAAATGTAATTTACACAAGAATTCGAAAAACAACTTCATTTTAAGTCTTGTTAATAGCGTCCTTTCTCATTCTAAATGAGTACATTTTGTAATAGGTCATTAAATTATTAAAATAAAATAAAATCGGATTAATAGACACCATGGATTTTAGGATTGACAATTTCAAGACACTAATTTTCTCATCGATATCGACATGTCGATTCCTGCTGCACAAAAAGGTTATACTTGTAGAAGTACATATTTAATAAACGAAATTTATACAAATATGTGCGAAAATTATTTGCCTGTGTAAACGAGTCTTCACAACCATTACTCAAAAACATTACCAACAATATTTGAAATAACAAAATTTATCTTTTTTATTTTGCACAGTAACTCCTATGGATGATTCTACTTGGCTACCGTCAACAGATGAGGTAAAAGATAAGGATAATCCAAAGCTGAAAATTAAAGAGACTTTGCCGCAAGTGAAGGAAACAAGGCCCAAAGGAAGTAATAATAATCGAGGGAAAGGCAAGGGCGGCAAAAATCAGAAACCAAAACGAAGTATTGGCTCTTCAAAATATAATATATCTTATTCACTACATTGATTTGCCTTCCTTTTCTTGCAGCCGAAAGTGATTCAGAGGAGGAGACCAAGCCAGTCATCTAATAGATCACCAGTTAAAGTATTTTTAATTGCTTAGCATTTAGGGCTTATGAATAAGTCGAAATCGAAGACTATCTTAGACCTTTCTTTTTGTACACGGGTGTAACAATTATAACATTAAAATTATGTGTGAAGAATACATAGTAAATACATACTCCATATCTATAACTGAGAGTATTCAAACATATTAATGTTACATTTTAAATCGGCTTTTCAATTGGTTTTATACGGTTGCACTGCTTCTAAATTCTATAAGACGTTATTTACAAGGCGTCTGGTATATGGTTACAAAAATATGGTAATTCATATACACTGAAACACTGTACATATGTGTAGAATAATTATAGTAATTTAAGAAAGTTAAAAACACACATGTGTAACCGATTCGCACGTCATGCAGCCTCCTAGTGCCCTGTTACATACTTTGCAAAAATTACATGCCCTTTCTACCCTTCGGGTACAGGGTATACAAATAAAATAAACTTGCACAGCGTAAACACATAAGGCATCTTTATGAAGAATTTGGCGTCTCTATTTCTTATAGTCTCTGAGATCCAGATCCACTCGAATTGTCACGCTGATGAAGAATATACGTACACCTAATTCTGTTTTAACACGGTAGATTGGTTCCTAAAAAAATGTAAAAAAAAACCGTGGAAAATAGACATTAATCATATGCAAAAATGCTAAATGGAATAAATCAAAATCGTGCACAAAAGACCATGTAAAAACATAATTAAATTTATATATGTACGTACATACTTTGGGGGGTCTACCACGCCTCATTCTGCCTGTTCCATTTTTCATATATATATGATCTTATATATTTCATGTAATTCGGATTCGCATATATTTAATGCAAAGTTAAATTATCTTCATTGAAATGCGTGTTGTCTTTGATGGGCGATTGTAATAGCTATAAGAATCGTAAGGAATCGCAGGCCACAAAATATAGATGCACCTAATACCATTTTTACACGGTACATTGGTTCCAGAAACAACCGTGTAAAAAAAGACATTGATCATATGCAAAAAGAGGTGATTCGTTCCTTATCTTTAAAGAAATATATCTGAGTTTTTTAATTTTCAAACCATATTATATCAAAATCGTGTAAAAACAGAATTAGGTGTATTTATAAATTAGGATAAGCATGACGAGGTGAATCCACCTTCCGAAGTCAGTCTGCCTGTTCGAATCACTACTCCTCCCATAGTTTAAGGCGTATCGCATTATAACTTTGCCCCAGGGTTTCCTTTTGCCGGACGCATAATATTAGCATATGTCGAGATCATGCATTTCAGATTACTACTATATTTCCTAACCTGACATAGAGAAAATTTGATTTGAAAAACAAGAAAGGAATGCTAAAGTTGAGCAGGCTCAACTCTTAAAATACCGTGTACCCACCACACAAAAAACAAATTTAAAAAAAGGAATTTAAAAAATTTAATGAATTTTATTATATAACTAAATTTTATGTTATATATTCAACACATGCATAGATAGGTAAGTGTTTATGTTCAATTTCAACAGCATACATCTACATCAGAATCATAAATATGTACGTACATATATGCATGTATGTATGTGTGTGTGCAGTACCGTATTAACTTAAAGCGGCAGAGCTTGGGCATCATGATGAAACTTGGCTTACGGACATATAATCACTAGCGAAATGTAAATAAATATGTGAGTTCAAAATTCCAAGAATAAGGTGAGTTAGAGAAAATCACTAATAGCGGGGGAGTGGGGGTGCATCGAAAAAAAACTCAAGCACGTACTTTCTCGGACTGAGGAGAATCTGGATACCAAGTTTGGTTCATCTAGTTCCTATTCTTTCGGAAATCCTTGCGTTCATACAGACAGATGGACATGGCTAGATCGACTCGGCTTGTCTTCCTGATCAAAAATCGATATACTTGGTGGGGTCTGCAACGCCTCCTTTTGTGTATTACATACATTCGCACAAAACTAGTATAGCCTTTTATCCTTTAGGTACAGGCTGTAAAAATAAAGAAGTTTCGATTTAACTGGCCAACTGGCATTGGCTTTTAAATTGAGACTAGATCGCCAAAAAAAAAGAGGCAGACTGTCAGAAGGATTAGCCACCATACATATGTAAGTACATAGCTCTATCGATTCGTATATGTGTGTATATTTTTGCCCCAAATATTTGATTATTCCATGTTTTTTGTGCCAATGCGTGTTACGTGAATATCTATGCTTAGATCTGAAAACCCACTTAATATATAAACCCACCCTTTTTGTTTTTCAGTGGCCCGGCTGCAGCAATTGGATAACACGATTTGCAAATAAAATGAAAAAATATTGTTTATTGCCATGCACATTTCCATTAAAAACTTTTATATTTTAGTTTTTTGCTGACTGGATAATTGATCCAACTTATAGACGAGATTAAAAATTACATGTACAAGTAATTTATGCGCTAATTAATTAATTAAATAGCTACGGCATTAGTATATTAATATATATCATAAATTATAAAAGTTGCATAAAAATTTTATTTACGTAGAATGTTATGAAGTTTTTCTAATTGATTTTTATTATATATTGGCAGATTACATTTGTTGCTGCAAGTATGTATATTTGTTTGATTGCATTTTGGCCATGTGCAGATGATTATTTAAAAAAATAAATAAGACTAATGAACATTTTTGTTGCATACACTTTTTGGTGTTTCATTATAATTATTGAGAATGATTGATATTGCCACTTCTTTAATTATTCTTGTTTTTGTTTACTTTTTTTAGTTTGTTTTTCTCTTGCTGGTGTCGACGCCCACAGAAAGTTTATATAATTTACATAATTTATTATTTCATATCTTGTGCAAGTAACAGATTTTAACAACGATGAAAATGACTACTTTTCTCGGATATATTTAATTAGGCCTGCTTCGAATTCCTTAAGCTCTTCACTTTTCGGACTCACAGCAAAGTTTATAAGTTTCGATATTCAAGGCAAAGTCAGTTCATAATATATTTATTAAATAGTGCGTGCTATTCCGTTGTATCGAAGATAGAATCGGAAGTCGGAATAGGCCTAAATATATATATATATATATATCTTCTTTTTTTTTTTGTATATTTTAAAGCGACTTATAGATTTTACAATTATTTGACCTGCCAGGCTGAATGTCTCAAGACCAATCTAACAATTGTCGCTGATAAAATTGTTGGCAGCACCCGAAATACTTAGCTTTATCACGCCAGCCAAGAAAACGTTATAATTTACCTACTTTGAATTAAACAATTACCATCGTGCCGAGACGTTCAGCCTGGGAGTCCAAAATTATATACATGGTCATTCTCGTTAAAGTATTTTAGGAGCACCAGTAGTGTTGTTGCAATGCGCTGTCGTCGCTATTTGCTGCAGAGATGCGCTGATGTCAACTAGAATATATAGCATGTATTTGTGTGTGTCTGTGTGTGTGTGTGTACGTGATTTGCTGTAGCTGTTGTTATTGGTATGCAGGTGTTTCTGTTAGCGAGTGTTGTATGTTTTGTCTGTTCGACATTTATTTATTTTTTTTTAGACATACATACATAATAGATAATGTCGTACGCTATGCTGACGTATGTACATATGTATGTATGTAGTTGGGCGACGACAAAACCAGAGCGAACGCGTATATTCTCAACTATTCATATATGCATGGATCTGTGTACATAAGTGTGGGAGCAGGACAGCTAGCTACGATGCGTAGCCGGCATTAATAGCGCTGATGCTGCTGCTGTCGCCTGTTCAAGTGGTATCATTACCTATGCCATTTTTTTGATCCAACTTATTGGTGCCGGACTTAACCATATATACAAAGAAAGTTATAATATCCTTCTCCTTGATGGGTATTGTTTTAAAATGCTTCATAATGGTCTGGACAAAAATAGAACAAAAATATTAATAAGCAAAATAATTGCAAAGCGTAAAAGGCACGAGATGCTTCAATTATACTTCTACAAATTACTTACATCGGCTAACTGTGCGCGCTTCATGCCTTGCCTCGTCTGCACCTTAAAGTGACGCTTATAGCGACGTAACGTGCTAACACCTAGTTGGTATAGATCTGGAAATTCGTGCAAATCGGTGTCCGTCTCGTTGCTATCATCCTCGGAGTCCTTGCGACGTCGCTTAGTGCGCACCGATTGTATTCTCTCCTTATGATAATCGCAAATATAAATATGCTGCGCACTGGGGTCGCTGCTTAATTTAAGGCGCTTCTGTGCGACTGTTTTTTGGATACGTTTGCTATAGCTCGCGTAGCCAGCTTGATTGCGACAACGCTCCATGTCATCGATAAGGCAGCATGTTTGGTCCGTGTGGCCGCCACGCGAATCCTCTTCACCGGTGCTAAAGCCGTTGTTCATTGTTCAAGGAGGGAGGTTGGAAGTATGGCTGTTGTTTTGGTCCTGGGCGGCTCTTTTTAATACGGCGCCGGGCGCACTTTACAAGTTTTCCCCAGTTTTCTTCTTTCTATTATTGCACACGCGCGAACGATGAGGTAACAACGCAACAATAATATATTTCTATAAAAACGCAATAAAAGTAAAAGTTTTTGCATATAATGCGCACTGTTTTAATACTTTTCGACACTTTCCTATGTGGAGGTGCTTTATGTGTTCTCGATTTTCAAAGACTCGATTGGCGAGAAATCGATTAGTATGGACTCATTGCAAAAGATTCGATTGGCAGTGAAACTAAAATATATAAATTTATTAAATATATTACTCAAGGTCAAGTTAAATAAACGTCGCATTAGTTTTTTTATCTCCACCAGAATATAATAAATTTAAATGTATGAACTATAAACCGAATGTAACGATTATTGAGAAACAAAATAGTTGGCACCTACGAAAAGTGGCAACTATTCGATTCTGCGATGTGTGACCAGATCGTTTGTACTTTAAATAATTATGAGTCAAATGGTTGTACAAATTAAGAAGTTCCTGACGTTGGTGATTTTTATGTTCGACCGACTAAGGATTTATTATTCAATTAACACAGTGCATTGTTGCACTAATAAAGGACAAGAGCTCGTGTATTCAGAACGGTTTAATATCCAAAAGTCAACTAGCCGCTAAGAACATTATTTCTTATAACTAAAGCTAGCCCTGTACCTCAAACATGCTGACACCGCGCCTCGTGCATGGTGTCTCATATCAGCTGCTTACATCACGGAGCGTTGCACTCTGCAATGACGGTTTTCGGTGTGCAATATCCTCGGACGTTGCTGATCTTGCACTATTATCACGCCAGCTCTGCTATGTCGATTTGGCAACTTCTTTATCGCTGAGTGGTCGTGTTAACTCCTCCCCCACTTAAGTGAAGGACGTCCTCGGACTTCTTATAACCATCAATGACAGCCAGGATGTCTTGTTGACTTCGAAACGCCTGACGCTTCTTGTAGAATCTGAAAGAGGCGTAGCAACAAACCAAAAAGGTACTCACAGTCAATCCAGATATTATGGGCTGCTTTATCAGTTCCTTCTCGATTTCGCCAATGTAATGCGTGTTTTCGAGACTCAGCCTTTGTTAGTATGGTAGGCTTAATATCTCCTGGTGGGCTGTTATGTTGACCAACGTTGACGCTGCTGGGCCAGTAGACTTGTTCACATAACTCTTCAGGTTACGGTTTAAAGAACCATTCAAACAGACATCTTCGTCGAAGGTAAGGAGGAACATGCCGGATACAATTTGCACTTCGTTATCCCTAGTCTTGATAGCCGCTGTTTCGTCGTTGATGATGATGACGCCGTCGTCGATGATCGTGAATGGCTCGAGATGGCTGGGTCGAGTGGTGCAATGGGCCGTGCCACCAGAGTGTAGTTGTTGAGCGCACGTAGTATAGTAGTAGTATCTTCTACAGAAAGTTGTTGTGAGCGCAGCGCTGCAGTTTCCGATTGGAAATATTTCATTCCCGCAATCAGCTATGATGTCTTCGTCAGCTATGTTAAGGATGGTGTTATTGTGTTGTACAGGGTACAAGAGAATCTTCTTACATATTAATATATTTGGCTTAGGGTATTTAATTAGAAAATGTAACAAATCATTACTTAGTATAACTCTGATTTGGACTACTTCCATCAAGTCAGTAATGGCTATGTTCGTAGAACGCTCATTGATTACGTTATTTAAATCGTTAGTGTCTAATATTGCTGGGTTAATAATTCCAATCTTTGTGAGTGTAACAGATAACATTAAAGTTTCAAGTTCCGAAATTAATATTATATTCCCCGAGAGCAAAGTTTCGTATACTTGTAAGTGTTCTGTGTTTATATGGCTATTCTTTGAATTCTTTATTAGCATGTTTACTGTGTCTGTTAACTTATTTAGCTGTCGTTGCGTTTTTGTATTAATATTTACGTGCCTATTTGCAAATTCAATGAGCTCCTGTTGTATCAGTTTCAATTTTTCAAAGTCGTTCTCGTGTGTCGTATGTCCGAGTCTAGTATCTGTTCCATGTGTGATTAAGGAAAATGATTCCTCAACTTCTCTGTTTCGCCCATCATTTCCGCGTACATTGTTAGATTAGTCGAGTGTTTTAAATATTGGAAATCTTTCCAAATTGTCGTGTCTCCGTCCATGATTGGTATGTAGTCCGCGTTCGAGTAGTCAGTCAGTTTAGCGTTTGTCATTGTGACAAGAAGTAGCATAGTCCAGATCCTAAGTAAAAAAGGAAACCCATATTATAGTTACCTTATATTATCCTTATGAACCACCCTCCCTTTAATCAAGACTGTGGTCCCCAAGTCTGCTTCTACCGTTTCCTCGATGTACAAGGATGTCAGTTTATTTCCCAGTCTCCTATTTGATCTTACGAGGACTCTGTCTCCTACTTGGAAATTTCTATTTTGTCTTACTTCATTTAACCTTTGCATTTGTATATTCTGTGCTTTAAGGACTTTATCTCTTATTTCTACGTCAAGCTCTGGAGGAGAAGAATGAATCACATCAATAGGTCGTTTGTCGGTAACTGAATGTATTGTCCGGTTGTATTCTATAGTTGCCTGAAGTATTAGTTCGGTTGTATCGGCAATATTTCTTCCAGCTCTCAGACATCTTGCGATTTCAACAAGAGTACTATGGAATCTCTGTACCTGTCCATTCGAAGTGCTATGAAGCGGTGGTGCGTTTACAACCTGAACGTTAAATCGATTGTTTAGAAGTGATTTTAATGTTTCTGATTTTATGGAAGGTTCATTATCGCAATATATTGTTTTAGTGTACTTGTAGAAGTTTTGAGCTGCAAGATCGCCGGTTGTATGTTTATTATTGTTCTGGAGGCGATAGGTTGGACAATCGAAAACTTTGACAGCTTGTCTATACAAGTGAGGAAATATTTCTTGTCAGTTGAAAATATGTCGACGTGCAATATCTCGCCCACACGCAATGGTATAGGTGTCTCTCCAAGTACCTGCTTCTGAGGGTGCCGATCATACTTCTCTTTTTGACAAATTCTGCAATTTGCAACCACCTCGTTTGCAATTTGGGTCATCTTGGGAAAAAAATAATCTTGGAGAATCTGTTTTACGTTTTCTTGAGCGTCCCTATGAGCTCTATTGTGCTCTGTGAAAACTATTTCTTTCTGCTCGCCCTTATTCAAAATATCGGTTACCATATGTTTTGCATAACGGAATGTCGTCGTAGGGTATGTTTCTATTAGTTTATGTTGAATGAATGCTAGTGTTGGTAGTTGACAGAAAATTGCGTTTACTACGTCCTTCTTGACTGCGTCACATACCCTCTGAATTAACGTTTCTCTACTTGGGAAATGTATGAGGTGACGAGTTTTCTCACCAAGCATAGTAACAGTCCTATCTGAGGCAGATCCACCTTCTTCTATTACTATTTGATTTCGAAAGCAGTTGACTGGTTTGTCTGTTGATTCAACTGTGTGAGTGACAACTCGCTATGTATCGTTGCAATATCGGACTGTGCATCTTCCTCCAAAGCGTAGATGCCTTGTCTTGACAATGCATCTGCAACGCAATTTTCCTTCCCTGGCTTGTAAAATATTTGAGCATTATGCTCGTCTCGGTAGCAGGGAGTTGTGCCTAAAATATTAACTTGGTCGTACACTACAAGGTCATCATTAATGTCATCTGCCTCTTGGTTTGCGTCAGTCTGGTATGCAAAAGTGTCTGGGTCCGGCAGAGAGTCATCGTGGGTCAAATGATTCATTCTTTGGTGTTTTGGTCCCGAAAACCTTGCAGTTCCACTGTTTGGTCTTTTGTCGGCCTGTCCCTGAGTGTTAGTATTACCCTGGTTTTGATACCTGACCTGTCTAAACCTTGATGAATTGTCTACCTCCATTGGCTGTGGTTGTTCTTGTCTCTGAGGAGGTCCGTTAGGAAGTGCCTGACGTTTACTAAAATGGGGGTTTTTTCCAATATGTGTTATTACCGTTTTCCCCTGCCGGCACTCTGTCTCTGCCTTGTTGCTCATTCCTTTGGGCCCTTTCCTCTATACTTCGAGCATAGTTACTGGCGAACGTGTAGTGTTCGTGATTGGATTCAACCTCTTGGGCCAGAGCCAAAGCGGAAGGAAGATCTTTCGGTCCTGCCGAAAACAGAACGTTGCTCAATGATTTCTTAGTTCCTGAAATGAACACTCGTAAAGCGTCCATTCTATACTTTTCATTCAGTGCGACAGCTATGGTGTTGTCGTAAGTCATGATCGTTTTGTTCGTTAATAAGGTGAGTTTCTTTTCTACTTCGTCATAGTACTGTAGGAGTGTCAAATTTCCCTGTTGGAGTGTCGACATTTCTTGCTCTATTAAATATATGGGGCGTTTGTCCGCATACGTAAAGTCGAGTCGATTTATAATCGCTTTAAAATTCAGGGGCGTGTCGAATGATGCTAGCACCATGTCCGCTGGTCCCTTAATCTTGTTTCTCATTATATCTAAAGCCTGGTGTGTTGAACTACCGTCATATTTCTCGTAAGTTTTATAAGCGGTGTGTGCCGCTTTCCTCCATAAGACGTACGTCTCATGTTTTCCTTCGAAGTCCGGCAAAGATTTCACAATGTCTAATGTTTCACTGCACTTAATCATTGCACGAATTTCCGCGTCCCTGTATTTTTCCACTTCTGGAGCCCCAACACAGACACTGCCTAAACGTTGGTTCAGATCCTGTATCTGTGCATCAAAACTTTTTTTTTGAGCGGCAAGTGCATTGTTGACTGCCGCTTCTATTACTGTCTGTAATTGCTCTGAAGACACAGCCATACCTAACTCTTTTTCGTTTTGGTTTTTTACACGGACCTTACTATCAAGTTTTTTTTAATTTGTCCAGCAAATCTATGTCGCTATCACACATAAGTTCTGTCACTACGCAAGGATTGGTATTTTAACTTTGTAACAAATTTTATTATATTCTTCTTTAAATTTGAATTGATTTAAACAAAAATTTTTCAATCTTTTTTTGTATTTATTTTTTTAGTTTGTAAATTGTCAATGAGCGATCTACTTACATGCTCTTATCTAGATCTAATTCTACTTGTAGTGTTGCCGCCGCCGTCGGTGTTGCCGTTGCCGCTTCTGTTGGTATTGTTGCCAGTAGAATTTCCTCTTTATTTTGTTGCTGCCGTCGGTGTTGACGCTGTATGTTGCTTCAGTTATTGTTGTTATAACAATTTTATTTAAATAATTTGTTATTTAATTTTTGTTTTCTGCTGCTGCCATCGGTGTTGACGCTGTATGTTGCTTCAGTTATTGTTGTTACAACAAATTTTATTTTTTTTATTTATTATTTAACTTTTGTTTTCTGCTGCTGCCGTCGGGGTTGACGCTGTATGCTGCTTCAGTTGCTGTTGTTGTAACAGTTTTATCAAATTAATTTATTATTTAATTATATTATATATATATTATTTAATTATTTCTTATAACTAAAGCTAGCCCTGTACCTCAAACATGCTGACACCGCGCCTCGTGCATGGTGTCTCATATCAGCTGCTTACATCACGGAGCGTTGCACTCTGCAATGACGGTTTTCGGTGTGCAATATCCGAAACCCAAAACAATAAATATAATCATTAAGATATCAATGTGTTTTTTAATAGCAGCGTTTAAGAAATTTTTTAAATTGTATTTTAATTCGCGCCCTTTCAAAAATGTAATTGATTTGGCGCATTTCATCGATAAAAATAACCAATCGAGTTTTCTTGTGGCTTTTGTGACGTTTTTTTGAAGGCCCCACTAAGAGGTTACCAAAAATTGTTCTCTTACATTGCGCATTTTTCCTTTCAGCTTAGATGATCAACTTAAGCTTCGTTACACGCAGAGCTGTCAAAAAATTGATTCTGCTCTTACTCGATTTATTTGATCTTTTTAGCCAAAAAATGTTAGAAATTACATTAAAATAAAAATTTCGATTCCATAAACAAAAGAACAACAGATTTAATTGCTTTCAAAACAAAGTATTAACCGTAAGTAACAAACAAACAACAAAATGCATTAAATTATTTAGAGAATAAATCAGAATGCAGAAAATTCAAATATAATCAATATTATTAATCCAACCAGAAAAAAGTAAAATCAAACAACAACAACAGCTGCGGCCAGAGCTTACAAATATGGCTATAAGTTTTTCAGCATTGAGCAATCTTGATAAAACTTAACATGCATACACATAATCACAAACTGGATGTACTTATCACATTTGTAATGTATTGTATTTTTGATATAAAAAAATATATAAAACTTAACGAAAATCCATTATCTTATGAGCTTTATTGTTTTGTTCAGAAATAATGATTATCGGTTGAGTTGTAAAATAAATCATTATATTGTGAGAGAATGAGAAACATTTAAAAAAAATGATCATTTTGTGATTTTTGTAACAGTGCAAGGAATTTTTCGAAGACAAAAATCTGCCAATCTTGGATTTATTGTATAAAATTTGACGGATCGTTCCTATAGCTATTTAATAGAACTGGTAACAGGCAATGTTTCATATCAATAAAAAAAATATATCTAAATAAATAAATAGAACATGAAATCAAATTTTAGAGTAGCACCGCCGTAAAAGCTGTTATACAAGTAGAGCTGCCACACACTTTAATTTATAGAATTAGAACCATGGCGCGAATCATAATCGCGCATATAATAAAATGTTATGCTTTTTAAATCTAAGTATAATACTAACTTTTAAATTTGTTGTAAATATTGTACATAATATTACTACTATATAGCATATATGTAAAAAAAAAAACGCTCATCCGTACAAAAGCTCAGTATTATACAACTGCGAATGGTCCAGTGGCACCTTTATTTAATGTGTGCAGTGTGCCCATCACATATAATACTGAAACCTTGTAGGTATTTTTTAGGTTTTAATAACTAAATACAATACTCATTTAGAGCTGAGCTGCATTTGCGGGTCGTTGTCGCGGTTTGATCAACAATTATACTTATTTACAGTCGTTGCTGTTCACACATATGTAAATAACGAAGACGCAAACACGACAACCGGTTAACAGTACCGCCTAACATTAACGTATAAATTAATGTAACTTCATTTAGAGCGTTTAAGCTGGTCTTGAAATACCAACGTGTCTAAATCGTATACATATACATACATACATATATAAGTAAAGAAAACGATTTTTTATCTTAAATCAATTCTTACTCTTATATGCTAAGTACAACAACAACAACAGTGTGTTTTCCGAAGTTGTATATATTCATGTGTTTTGTGGCTTCACAAAGCGGCAATAACAATCGCAGCATTGTAGAAAAAAGTATCACAACAATAAAAGCAATAAAAACCGTGAAGAAAGTGTCGCCTTAGTAGAAGTTGCTTCGCTGCCAGCAGACCACAAGACAAAGTCAGCGCCAACTCCCCCCTGCTAACAAACGAACTCACCACCAAGCAGCGGCAGAAGAAGACTGTAGCCGCCCCACGACGCGCCGAAAACAACAAATACAATAACCACACGCACGCAACGCGTTTTATTTGCAGTTTTTTTTTGTACAAACACAATAACAACAATAACGGTAGACGAGCGCAATAAAGTGAAATTGCTCAGTTTATAATTTATTTAAATAATAACCAATCAAACAATAAGAAGAATAACAATTAAGAAAGTGCGTCCAGCGGCAAAAAACAAAAAAAAAACGAACAAAAACAACAACAAAACAAACAACAACGGCCGCCAACAACAATAAAACAAGCACACAACAAAATGGCATTTCTAAACAAATTTGCAAAAAGTTTATCCATTGATGAAAAGGCTGAGATAAAAGAGAAATTTACAGAAGTAAGTAAAAGTGGAAAATTCAATAAACAAAATAGTTCCTGCTAAATCGATAATTGCATGTTCATAGTACAGATGTGCGAGTATGTACTGTATGCTAAGATTATTAAAATTAAATAGCAATTGCATGAGTCACGCCGCCGCTGGCAGTCACAGTCGAGATGGAACTGCGTAATGCCGGTGCATGTGGGCGCGCATTCAGGAAAGCTAACGTCGCAGCTTTGTCGACAATGGCCTTCAATACACACACACCTGCAAAGATACCACCAACCCCCACCTTCATCGGCATCGGAGACCAGTGTTTTACCCTGTTCCTGCCACTACTACTGACTAACGGTAAAGGCGTAGAGTGGGGCAAGCATGCGACTGTGCATATATGTACTTGTATGTATCTACATACATACATACATACATCATACATATGTACGTATGTCAGAGTATGCGCACGGTAAAAAGGCGAAAACAAGTTCCCTGGGTGGTGGCCACGCCAAAGTGTCTCGGTGTGCGTGCACTCGCAATCACATGCAACACCACTCGCACCAGCAGCGCAGCGCAGCGTCTGCACAAAAACGCATGCGCTGCATCGTGTTCCTTGGGGGTGCGACTGCGGACTGGCTATCGACGCGCCCGTCGACGCTGACGCATAAACTGCTTGTGTATTTCTGTGAGCTGCTGCGTTTGGCGCTTCTTACAGCTCAGTCTTCTGACACTGCTTCTGCGTTATGTGCCCAATGAGTAATCAAATAACCTTAAAGGCAAAACAGCAGTAACGGACGCTTCTTTCACTTCATAAGAATTTCGTATGAAATTCGCAAAAATAACACATACATATGAACATATGTATGCTACTACTACATACATATTTGAAAAAGTGTGCAGATATATATGTATATATGTACATACATACATACATATAAATGCTTTTAGCAGTATGACAACAACGGCACGTTAAGCCTGAGACAAAAACTGGTTTCAGCTTAAAAAAGAAAATCACAGACACACACACACACACACACACACACACAGGCATAAGCATTAAAAAACTACGACTCAGCAAGCTGAAAGCTGTGAGTGTGCGTCTGCAACAACATCCAACGTTGGTGCTGATGTTTTTGCCGCGCCGTCTCTCGTTCTCATTTGGTTCAAGGGGCAATAACAACAATTATTCAAAACCATTGAGAGTTCAATTTTTATACCCTTTGCACACATGTATGTATGTATGTGCATACATACATATCTATCTGGTATGTAGTTAAATTGTACATATGTGTGCAAGTACGTCTGCATGTGCATACTTACATACTTATGTATGTACATATGTAAATATTAATACGTGCGTTCGATTGGTGTTTAACAGTTATTCATGTCTTGCTTGTTTTCGTGAATTGTTTTTCACTGTAAGCACTGTCATTGTATTGGAACAATAGTACATGTTCATGTTCTAGCTTTTTCGTCTTCGCCTGTGCACACACATATGCATATACATACATACATACACAAATATGCATAGATAATGTTAATAAGTGGTACATGCAGCAAACAATGTTGCATGACCTGTAACCCCACTAGTAGTAACAATAGCAACGACAATATTATTTCTAGGAAACACCAGCCAAGAACAGCTCAACATTCTTTAAAGATATTGTTTCAATAGGAACACTGGATTGATTTATTTATCAATTAGAAAGGTGTATGATTATACCATGTATCCAAAGAATAATTCGGTATACAACAATCTCGGGAAGTGACCAAACTTCTTATAGTTCATAGGCCCTCATCAAGGAAGTTGGTTCATCTCTGTATTGCACACAAAAACCATAGACAGACAACGTATGCAAGTTATCCAAAACGTTTGTATCCTGATAATGATACAACAGCTAAAACAATTTCATATTTTTATTTTTGAACATTGTCTTCTTCTAAGTCAACAAACTTCTTCCAACGATACTCCCACCTCTGATAAAAATGTCTTTCCCCTAAGCACAACTTTCAGCTTAGCGAATAAAAAGAAGTCCTTTTGGGGCTAGGTCCGAAGAGTAAGGATGATATGTGGAAGATCAAGTTAAGTTCGCTTGGTTGATCCGTGAACATCCCACTAAAGGCGGACGGCCTAAGTACTTAATTTACTTTACAGTTGGTATACCAGGGGCTCCTGAATGTTAATATGGGACAGTTGTATTCGAATCGAACTTTAAAAAAAATGAGTGCATTTGAGAAGGAGGGTCGTTCCAGAAGTCTCTGTTCCGATAATTGAATATTGAAGTTATCAGTCAAGATTCTCGTAATCTTCGATCCATTATACTCGTTCTATTTGAGAATTTAGCATTCTGCTATCGCCAAAATTCAGTTCCATTTCCGATTTTAAATACTATTTTCTCAGGCCCCGCTTTACTCTCTTAATAGTCTTCAGACAGTGCTCTGGTTGCTCCAACGCTGCTAGCTGCTATTGTTCGACAGTCGTGAACAGTTGGGCGACTTTAGCATTAAAATGCATGGCAAGCGAAACAATTTTAAGCACACAAGGATCAACAATGAACCACATATAGTATGTTGACACAGCACGTGGATCCACCACTCCCCTCTGGGTAGTTTGAGGATCCATATTCTGTAGGCATTGTAATCGCAGATGTGGGCGTCCATTGTCAAGTCAAAATCAATAGTACAATACTGAAAGAGAACCGCCACTTGGAACGTAGCTTTTGTTATTGATGCTTTAGCAGCATTGGTGTCGTTGTTGATTTTATTAATCGGTAGCGTGTACAGGCGTCGAGATAATTTAATACCATGCTTTCAATAAATGACTAATTCTGCTGCCAGCTTCTTTATTTAGCCTTTAGGCTAGTTCCGCATTCAATTGTTGTCTGATTTACCTTGCCTTAGCTTGACACGGCTTGCTGTTTGTTTTTGTAAGCCTTAACAAAACAATGTTGCCACATGCATATACAGGGGTGTTGTTCTAGAGATTTCGGCTTCAGTTGTTTTGGACTTAATTTTTTAAACTTCGACCTAATAGGCTCTATAATATACCTAATATACCCATTAGGATTGTGCAAAGTATGCAAAGAAGGAGGCATCTCCGACACAATAAGGGGTATATATTCATAATCCGCATGGCGTGACGAATCGATCAGTCCGTCTGGATGAAAACCTGGATTTCGGAAACTTGGTTTATATAGACGCTCCTGGTTCCAACTTTGAAGAAAAATCGACTATATACCAAATTGGTTCGTCACATCATGCGAATTATTTATATGCCTATAAAATGGGCCTTCTCCTGTCGTGATATTTTTTCGCTAATGTATTTCTTATGGTCATGGATAGAATTTGAAATAGAGGTAGAATACAAATTTTTATTTACATAGCTTTGGAATTGTGTTGCCTATGGATTAGGGGAGACGACATACACTCCAATACTGTATTGCTCTCGTTATTCCTGGAACTTTATGCCACAATTGTGCTATTACATGTGCCAATTCTGACGGAACTTATAGCCATGATGTAAACAGAGAAACAAACCCAATGCAAATTAATGGAATCAAAAAGGATATGTTGCGAACATACATTTATTGTTTAATTATTGGTATTTAATACTATTTATTTTAAAAGCCTAAATAAAATGGATGAAATAAAATTAGTTACAAGTGGGTACAGGGTTGTAAGCTTCGGGCTCACGAAACTCTAGCAGTCTGCTCTAGTTACCCGTCGGTTACAGGGTATACAAATAACAAGCTGAACAGAAATATGGTAATCAGAGGTTGATTTATTGGAAGTACCAAGAGGTTTTTAAAATAAAAATGCAACCGCTAAGACAATACATGTACGAGCAAGCGTGCCTCATTAAAGTTGAATCACTTCAGGGGCAAGTGTTTCATAGCGACACTTGACTGTATGGAATTGTGCACAAAGCAGTGCTTTTGTTTTTTGTCTGCTGCGTGGGAGTGTCAGCGTTAATTGCGGCAAAGCCTCGCATTTTAAGTGCCCATACTCAAAAATATTTTTATGGTTTATCAGGAGGAGTGTGTAGGCTGCTTGCATGTTGCAAACGAACGATACATAAGACGAATGAAGGAGACAACGTAGGAGCTGCCATATACTTGTAATTTATTTCTCCGATGGCCGCGCTCTTTATTTGTTAGCTGTCCCGCTTTGCCTCTGGTGATAATCGTTGGGAAGGAGGAGTTGGGGGGTAGGAAGAAGCCGATAGCGATGCCACTGTACACGTACATGCAACAATATGCAGGCAACATTAAGCGGCGCATAAATGTGCTCATTCACACACAACAAACATTGTTGTTGTCGTTGTTGCTTGACTTTTTTATCACCGCCACTGCCGTTCGCCGTCGCTTTCAAGTGCAATTGAAGCGCAGCCGGCAGCAGCTTATGCACTTAAAATTACTTACACACATTCAGATAGATACATGGATATACATATATAAGTACATTCATATGTATGTATGTGCTGGTACTTTACATTTCCATAAATCGCCTCTCTTTTCGTCTGTATTTGATTTGTCTTAACTGTGCGCTTATTGCAAATATTTTACTAATATAACAGGCAGAGGGAAGTATCTCCGACCCCATCGAGTTAACGAGTATATGTATGTAAATATGTTCTTAATCAGCATAATGAGACAAAGCGATCTAGACATCTGTATGAGCGCCTGTATTTAATCCAAAACGAGTTTGTTTTTCTTCCCGTTTATTCCCGACTATTTTACCATTAACATTTTAACCATTAACCACTCGCCGTATTCCCCGTATTCATATGGCACCGTGCGACTTCTACCTTTTCGGAGAAATGCATTTGCCCATGAAAGGAAAGCGTTATGCAGACGTAGAGGCCATTCAAAAGGCTTGCACCGGTATACTAGCGGCCATACCGGCCAACGAGCTAAAACACTCGTTCGACATGCTTTTGGATCGTGCAAAAAGCTGTATTGAAGCAGAAGGAGACTATTTTGAATAAAATAAATTTATTTTGCCGAAGAAACCATTTGTTCTGT